TTAAGTCATCAATATTTATTGTCAATCTAAAAAATCTAAATAGGAAGGACAGTGCACAGCAAGAATAATACCTAATTGATAAAATTTATCTGACCAATTGAAACGTAATGATATGTCCACGTGTTGCCGCTCGAAAAATATTATAAAGATGAACTTTTTCTATATTAGTTTCAACGTGCTAATCTCAGGAACTATAGCTTCGAATTGAAAAATATTTTTTTATTGGTTGAACCATTTATAGGGGAGGAAGACTTTAGACATAAACATCGGACCGTGACTAAAAGAGCGAAGAAACAGTGGAAAGTGTGGAAAAAAGGGAAAATTATAAATCTTTGTGGATTTCGAAGGTTAAGGATTAGACAATACCTATTTATATAAAAAAATAATAATTCTTCTTTAAATAATGTAAGAGAATGTCCGTGACTGTACCTAAGTATATATGTCTATCTTTTTTGATATTAACATAAAAATCGTTGTTATGGTAATCAACTTTTGGTTTAAATACTTCATATAGAAATTAAATAATTTAATACTGAGCTATAGAAAATATACAATGGCATCGAAATACAGTCAGTCACACATACAAATATGCACAGCTTTATATAACAATAATAATTAATTTAACAGATGGTACATTAATAAGCGTTGTACAATCAATATTAAAATAGTATAAATTACAATTTACATGTAGAAAATATTTTTGTTGAAAAAAAAATCCAAAATCCTTTAGTCTTTATTATTTTAATGAGGCGTATAATGTCGCATCATGTATTGTGTAATGATTTCGTACACCTTGATCTTAACCTTGTTTTATGCATACCAAACGTGCACGCCCGCTACAAATGATAATAATATAGATAACAATATTCAAACCTGTTCAGTTAAAAAATACATGGGAACTGGCAAACGCTCTTTGCCATATTATTTGGATCAAAATTATTATTCCAATAAAAACGTTCTTAGTTATTTATAGAAGATAGCCGTATACAGTATTTTTTTTAGTTCATTTAAAAAGTAATCATACATTTTTTTTGGGTATCTTGAACCGTTTTCTCAAGGGCACGCAACGGAAATCCACGAAGATGAAAAATTTTCCCCGTTTTTTTTAACATTGCTCGATACATGCTCTAACACAAGAATTTTCAATTCTAACCAGTAGTTCCTGAGATTAGCGCGCTCAAACAAACAAACTCTTCAGCTATATAATGTTAGTACAGATACGGATACGCCGTTGCTTGCTTTATTTAAACATAGTGAATGTAGGTATAGCTAAGTACTAATCAAACTATGAACAGTAGCGACCAGCGATTTTGGGGACGAACTAAAGTATGAATCTAACATATGAGTACGTGGTTGCGCCACCGTTTTATATAGCCAGACAGTGTATCACAATGTAAAGATATAAGCCATCAAACAGCTGACATCAGCGACTAGGAAACTGGAGGGATTATCTTGTCTTAAGGAGATTATAAGTCATTGATCTAGTTACCTAGTGTTTTGTGCAGTCAAATATATATCACGAGACTTCGAATAGAATTTTGAATTTTTCTAAGATGTTTCTAGTAGTAGTTGTCAGTAGGTGCGCCTTGGAGTGTTAAACTCCACAATAATTAGTGGTGGTAAATATCGCCACTGGTTGGTGGTAAAAGCCTGGAACCGAACTGGAACAACTTGGTGAATGTAAGCTCTTAAAACCCTTCGTATGCGCTAGACGTGACCCTAGCCGTTGGCTAAACATAGTTTGCGCGAGTAGTACACATTTAAATAAAACACTTTAACGCGATATATTAATTAAACTTATATGAAAATGATTTTTAACTAACATATCGCGTTTTAAACCGTTAAAGTGTTTTATTTAAAAGTTGATAAGAAACATAGTCAGCTAGTTCAGGTCAGTTAGTGTTTTAGAATTTACGTTGTCCTTGTATCGCAAAAACACCCGTTTTTGTACTCAATTAAGTAAACCAGTCCATATACGCAGTTGATAACATTGATAATATCTATATTATCGCGTGTTGTTATGTACACTTGCTTAGTATTCTTACTGTGTAATTTAATAGCTACATTTATATTATACCTACAATACATTGCGCGAGAGGTGCATGTGTATATCTATTGCTAAAAGTCAATAATGAAGTATAGAATATAGAAGCTTCAATGATAACGGAACTCAGTGGTCGTGAAAATAGCTTTTACAATAAAATAGATACAAGATGAATGTTTATATTTCGAACTAGAAACCTATTTCAAAATATGTTGACCAAATTTGATTGCAATAAAAATGTATCTTTAAGTTATTTTTATAAGATAGTGATATACTTTCGAAGATTTTTTTAGATTATTAAAAAAAGAAATTATTTTAAACTTATTTTTTAAGAATTAAAAAAAAAAATCTATGCGCACACAACGGATCTTCTGCTGTTTATTCGCTCCTGTTACAGCTTGTCGCAGCTTAATGTTTTATAGCCTAAAGTCTTCCTCAATAAATGCTCTAGCCATAACAGAAATAATATTTCAATTCGAGCATGTAGTACCTTAGATTATCACGTTCAAACAAACAAACAAACTCTTCAGTTTTATATACTACTACCTATAGATTTAAAGCAGCGAAACCGGCTATAATGTCATTCTTTAATGCCTGCTAAGTATATTCTTAAGTAGAATGAAAAACTAAGCCAAGCAAAACAGTCAAAACAGCGTTGGCTCCATTTGGAAAACAATACAAAAATTTAGTTAAAATCTTTATATCTATTTAAAAACTTTAATATCAGTACATGTTATTGCATACATAAATCTAACAATATATCTCAATCGGTCACAGCAGCATCAAGGAACGCTGTGGATACCGGTTCTAGTTTGTTTAATGCATGACCGGGGATCGAACTCCAAGTCCACCAAGATCACTAAATAAAATAGCCGTGTTATAAAAACAATCGCGTTTTCGTTTCACTGTGTAGATCTCCGATTATACAAGGATGTAGAAAATAAGTCGAAATCGCATCTTGGTAAGATGTTATATAGGGTACCTTAAATCAAGAATGATTTGAAACAGGACCAATGCGGAAAAATCTGGAGGAGGCCTATGTCGTAAGACAAGCGAAGCCAATGTTTATAATTGATGTATGTAAAATAATATGTTTTTTTTAATAGGGAGACTGTAAATATTACTGTTTAAGATAATTTAAAAACCGAAAATGAGTAGTACACATTTAAATAAAACAATTTAACGGTTTAAAACGCGATATATTAGTCAAACTTAAACTAAAATATCGCGTTTTAAACCGTTAAAGTGTTTTATTTAAATCGAAAATAAATTGAAAAAAAATCCGACGACCCGACATCGTCAGCGTTCCGCGCTGTTGCTCAAAAAAAATGTTTTTTCAATTTATTTTCGATTTTTAAATTATATGTATGTATTGTGCCATCATGTGCAGAGCATGTGAAAAATATTAAAATTTTCAAATGTTTAAAATAAGTTTAATGGTTCGTATATAAAGGCCATTCATTTCATTTCACCTTACATGAAGTGATTCCCGAGCTAGTCTATCATAAAAAATATGGTTTTCTAAATTATGGGTCACGTTTTGCAACGCGCAATGCAACACGCACCCAGCTCTCGTACGAACGCGACCATCGCTCGGTGCCTACGTGACGTCGGCCGCGTGGCATGAGCGAAGGGGAACCGGCCGGCGTGATCGTTTCATCGACTTTAGGGATTCTATGATATCGATACTCTGAATTAATATTCGATTTTAGGTTGAAAATAAATTACGACACGGGCTATATTGACCCGGCATACAGAGCGTTCCGTGCTCTAACCAATTGAGCTACCGTCGCCGATTTTTCAACCTGAACACTTGCGTATAAAGGTTCAATGTCTTATGCTTAGCTTAAGAAAATTATTGTGGATGAAATTACATAGTATAAATATTGAAAAACTGTAATAAAATTGGAATTCAAAAATATTTATCGATAATTAATTATTTTTTATCGATACTCTAACTATATCACATATAACCTTACTTTATATTGCCAACGTCAAAGTTGAACATCATTTAATAATGTAGACAACTAACTAGGTATACCGATGTCCTTCAATACAGTTAAAAATAAACTTTTAAGACTTTAAAGTTACCGGTACTTGAATTAAAGCTACGCCGGCGAACGAGAAGAAATGGCGAGAAACTCGCAGTCACATCTTTTATCGGCAACTTTTACAGTCATTCGCCCTTTTCATTATCTAAATGTAAGCTATTGTGATCTTACAATTATTTACTATGTAAATAACACTCCAAAAGGAGCATAATATTGCATATTGAACAGTATAGACAAATACTGTCTATAGTTTACGCGAGTAGTAAACATTTAAATAAAACACTTTAACGGTTTAAAACGCGATATATTAGTTAAACTTATTAACTATTTTAACCTCTCCCCGTGACCACGGCTGCTGCAAAGCATCCGAAACGTCGGGCCGAAGTTAAAAATCATTTTCAAATAAGTTTAACTAATATATCGCGTTTTAAACCGTTAAAGTGTTTTATTTAAATCAGTATAGACAAAATATTAAATGTACACACATAAACTAGAAGCTCAATTGCCTGGTTAAAAATCTTACTTCTTCCATACGTCTATAATTAAAATTAACTATGTTACTATTCTATTAATAAATCATAGGAACATAAACAAAACGATAATTATATGTTAAAGTAATGACAAAAAATATGTAAACAATTAATATTTAAACATCGATATCGACGTAATGGATGTAAACAATTCGCACAGCGCTACTGTGTATTTTGAACGGCTGGAACTGGCAAGGAGGCGAAAACACAACAAAGAATCGAGCATTCAATTCAGTCGTTAACTCGAGCTCGATCCGATCGGGCGTGTAATGACATTCACTGATACTCACTAAACCTGTTCTTTTAAAAGTCAATACCAACGCGATTGATAAATCGATATCGATATCTGTCAAAGGGGAAACTACGATATCGAAAATGTTCACATCCAAGGAGAGTGCTCGTAAGTTCCTCGGATTATACAAGAATGAAATCCGCCGGCGTATAAGCAAAACGACAAGTGTTACTAATTCGGACGCTATGTCGCCGAGGCTGGACCAGACGACGATTCATGCACAGCAGAATGAAGATACAGGTCTTCCAAACAGACTGCTCAAGTTGCAAAAGTATCACAGGTTAGTGAACTCGAATACCCCCCCGGTCGCGCAACTGCATATCGCTTACATTACGTGTTATGCGTACTGCATCGTTAATTTATCCCTAACATTGTTTACAAACAAAGGAAATTAAGATGATGTCTGTCGATTATGCGAGTATACAAAAAAACACGTCTTAACAGTTTAAAACGCGAATTATATTAGCTAAATGATATTTAATGAAAACTCTGACAGATCGCGTTTTAAACCGTTAAAATGTTTTATTAAATATGTACCTTAAGCGTGAATACTTACAACAAATATCCCAATTGTATCCTAGCTAGGATGTATTTTGATATTATGTAGTTAGCAGAAAATAATTTTATCTATGTGTGTGTGAAATCCCGTATGCCCCACGAGGGGAGGTGGGACATAGGGCGAACAATTTTCTGCGTCCGTTTCATTGATCGGCTTTATTTTCAGGCAGGTAGTTGATCAGACTTCTGTGCCTTGCCCCGACCGAAACAATTTACTGTTTCACCGGGATTCGAACCCAGGGCCTCTCACGCTTAATGCAATGCTAGACAACACGTTTAACCATTTAGCTACAGAGGCGGTCTTATATGTACTAGTGCTTATTATTAGTACAGTGTAATATAATTGTGTAATAAGCTTATCGCGATAAGAGCTTAGTAACCAATGTAATAAGTGTTAGTTTAATAAATATCTAATTTTGATAATGATAGAACTAGCTATTAGATTTGGCAAGGCAATTTGTTTATGTTGATACATACAATTTAAACCTTAAAACTTTTGAAGACTTAATAATCGTAATAGTAAGTACTTTAGATCTTAATTAGTAGGTATCAACTTTCTTTCAAATGTATAGTAATTTAACCTCTTTTTACAAATTGAAGGCCTAAACCAAATGACTCGGTATAGTCAAATTGTAATACGTCACTCGTATGAAAGTCTTTATATTCATTATAGATATTAAAACAGACGTGATTCGAACTCACAGTTTACAGCGTACTTACTAAGCATAATCGATAATCGATTAGAAAAAATCTCGTAAATAAACCCACAATTCTTTAGATACCTGTCGACTCTCACGTCTCAGCAAATGCCACTAGCTGCCCGCGGACTGGCTGTATCTAAGGACCAGTCCCGGGAATTCATGGCTTGCTTCCCGGACATCGTGAGGGACCTCACGGAAACTGACAAGCATCTTGACGTGCCCGAAGCCAGCAAGTGGTTGGCCAAGGTACGTTCTATGTTGTTTTTGTCAGTCTGTGGGCAGAATCATATAGAACATACATTAGAAACAAGAACATTCTCTTTGTCTTTATTTTTATTTTTCAAATTTCAAAAACATCACTCGTCTTTCGCAGTCGGTTTGAAATGACTGTCGTAAGGACGTGTCTGCAAGAACAGGTTGTCAGAAATGAAACTGCGTCTATTTATAGCTTAGACTTTGATCTCTATGCCCTAGAAATAGGATTAGCAGAAGTTTAAATGCATCAGAAATATGTTCCTTAAAATATAATGTCTTGTTTGGTGTTACCTCTGATTTGGTATATTATTCATAGACAATACAATCTTTAACTAACAGTAACTGGCAGGTAGAATAAAAAAAACAATAGTAACTAACATAGATAAGCAAAACTTCGAGAAACACAAAGGTTTCGACACGACATGAAATCCGAATTTTTTGTTTATTATTTAAACGAATTAGTAATTCTGTACATAACCTCGTTCATTGATTCAGTTAAGTTATTTCAAATTGCGACAGATTGTGATGGCGAAATGTTTTTTCACGAGTGAAAACGATGTTGGGAAATTAATTGCATAAGATAAGCAATGACATTGTGAGAGACTCGGGGCTTTTTAATCATTCATTTTTTATTGATAAAAGGGAATAGACAAGTATCCTCACTTGATTGGTGGCCAGTCTATTATATCTAAAGAAGGTGCGTTGTCGACCAATTTTGGCTTTGGATATTCGGAAATTCCACATTTCAAATTTCTTCCACCCGTTTGATACCCGGATTTCCAGACGAGGTGCAACATGTTGTACATTATAAATTTATTACAAAATCCGACCCAGTGGGAAACGAGCCCACGTTTGTTGTTTATTCTTATTAATAATGTTGAAGAAATCATTAGTCAGATAGATCAAGAAGCTTCCAGGACGTAAAACGAACGGTATTAAAGTAAACATAACACGTAGTTGACATTCAAACAAACTTATTATTAGAAGACAAGAAATAAATAAGCATTAATTTTCATACAGTAACATGTCTCTTAGGCATCTATTGAAACGCAATACTTCACAAAATAAA